GACTCTGTTGACCACCCTGTCCTCTGGGCTATTCTTTCCTCTCCGAATTTTCATCACACCTGGCTGCCTTTATGTCTCAGCATCACATTCCACCTGGACCCCTGCTGTTCCCGTTGGTTGGTTTTCCTTCCACAAGGCTTTCTCCACTGCAGTCCATTGTCTTCCCGAAGTGAAGGTCTGACTGCGTCCTTCCCCCACTTCGTAAACTCTAGTAGCTCCTTATTGCTTCCTCCATCAAATATGAAATCCTCTTTGTCTCCTAAGGCCCTTCATAACCTGACCCCTTCCTACTTTTCCAGGCTTCTTAAACCTTACTCCTTCTCACATATTCTGTGTTTCAGTGACTCTGACTTTGCTGTTCCTTCCACAACACACTGCATTTCTCAACTCCACGCATTTTCACTGACTGTCCTACATGCTTGTCTAGACCCTTTCTGTTACTGACCTCTTTAGGGACTACATTTAGTAATGGAACTCTATGGCAAACACAGTTTTTTAGCATAATTCTAAATTGCTTTATGTAATTTTTTTAAACAAATGAGTTTAGTTCTCTCTCTCTCTCTCCCCCCCTCCCCCTCTCTCTCCCTCTCCTCCTCTCCCCTCCCCTTTCCTCGCCTCCCCTTCCCTCCTCTGTCCCTTCACCCCCACCCCCACCCCCGCCCAGGTCTTTTTATTTCACCTAGGCTGGACGTACAAGGACCTCTCATGGCCCAATCCCACTACTGATCTGCGTGGAAGCTTTGACTTGCTCCGTTTCTAACCCAGGCCCATTAATCCCTTCTTAAACAGCCTGGTAACTTCTCTGTTCGTTCACTCAGTTGGCATGAGACTTAGTACATGCATCTGATTAGTTTAGCCCCCTGTAGCTCAGAACTCCTAAGCCCAAGAGATCTGATTGCCTCAGCCTCCCCAGTATAAGGTATTACTGGGACAGATTACCGCATCTGCCTTTTTTAGAACCAAGTTACTGCTGTACTGCTAGCCGTATCTTTGTCCATTCATTTATTCAGTAAACGGGTATTGAGCGCCTGCTCATGTTCCAGGATCTTTGTTCAGTGACCTCTGAACTATCTCCATCTTTTGTCATTCTTGTCAGTTTGCTGGGTATTATGTGAAGCCTCCAAGTTGTTTTGCTTTGCATTCTTCTTAGAAGTGTTTAAGAGTACTCATGATTTCGGGGAGTTTCAGTTCTTTGAGGGCCTGTTATCCATATTCTTTTACCATTTACGCATTGGGGAATGACTCTTAGAAGTAAATATTTTTGTTTGTCCCCTAGGTTTCTTTTTAAAAATATTATTTATTTTTAATATTCATTTTTTAAAAATTTTGGGGCCCCAATACTCTCCCTCCCTTTACTTCTTCCCCCTCTATTGAGAAGGAAAGCAATATGGTATAATTTATTCATGTGAAATCGTACAAAGCATATGTCTGTATCAGCCATGTTGAAAAAAATTAAGAAACTAAAGAAAGTGAAAAGATTATATTTTGGCCTACACTCAGTTCATCAGTTCTCTCTCCAAAGGTTGGTCGCTTAGTTGTTGAACTTCGTTATCGAAGAGGACCAAAATGCCATCACTATGTTGGGGTCGAGATACGGTGTGTCCAGCTGTGCTGATCAGACCGATATGAGCTCAGAATGTTCTCCCACAGGTCGGGCACAAATAGTCCATGTGAACGCTCAGAATGGAGATGTCTCTAAATTTATGCATCTCACATTTCTTTTGAGCTGCTCCAATTCTGCTTTGTTCGTGGAGCACTGCGCTTTCTTTGGTATGAGCACACCACACTTCACGGTCTGTGCCAGCATCTCCCATGTCTCACAGTTGATTCAGAGGTCTTCAGAGAGACCTTGAGAGGGTCTTTGTATCGCTTCTGACCTCCATGTGAGCGCCTGCCTTATATGAGCTCTCCATAAAATAGTCTTGTAGACAAACCTGCGTTTGGCATTTGAACAACATGGACAGCCTACTGGCATTGGGCTGTCTGTAGTAGAGTTTGAATCCTTGGCAATTCAGATCAAGAAAGGACCTCAGTGTCAGTGAACCTTATCTTGCCAGGTGAGCTTCGGAATCTTCCTAAGAAAGTTCAAATGGAAGCGTTTTAGCTTCCTGGCATGGAGCTGGCATACTGTCCAGGTTTCACATGTATGCAGCAATGAGGTCAGCATGGCTGCTCTGTAGACCTTCGATTTGGTAGGCAGTCTAATACTTCATCATCTATATGTGCAGCCCTGGAAAGCACACTGCCAAGGAAAGTGAACTTACCCACAGCATTCAAAACTTCTCCATTTGCTAGAACTGATGGTTCCATGTATGAGTGGTAAGGTGCTGGCTGATAGACAACCTCTGCTTTCTTGATGTTAATTGTTAGGACAAAATTAGCACAAGCAACAGAAACTCGATCCATACTGTGTTGCATCTTAGCCTCAGAGGCTGCATTGAGTACACAATCACTCTCTGGAAAAAAGAGCATTTTTCATCAGTGGTCCTTTGGAATGGTCTTGAAGATTGTCTTGATCAGAGCGGCTAAGTCTTTTATGGTTGATCATCGTTACCATATTGCTGTTAGTATGTACAGTGTTCTCTTGGTTCTGCCCACTTCACTTTGAGCATCAGTTCATATAAGTTCTCCCAGGCTTTTCTGAAACCATCCTATCCATCATTTCTTATAGCACAATGGTATTGCACAAATGGCTTAGCCATTCCCTGATTGATGGGCATCCCCTCAATTTCCAATTCTTTGCCACCACAAAAAAGAGCTGCTAGAAATATTTTTGTACATATAGGTCCTTTTCCCTTTTCTTTGATCTCTTTGGGATATAGACCTATAGTAGTATTGCTGGGTCAAAAGGTATGCACAGTTTTATTGCCCTTTGGGCATAGTTTCAAATTGCCTCCAGAATTGTTGGACCGGTTCACAGTTCCCTATATGTTGTGAATATCAAACCCTTATAGAGATATGTGATGGAGATTTTTTTTCTCAATCTGTCTTCTCAGCCTAGTTCCATTAATTTTGTTAGTTCAAAAGCTTTTCAACTTAATGTAATTGAAAGTATCTATTTTATCTTTTGTTTCATTAAGAATTCTCCTTCAACTTTAATTATGAAAGATATTAATTTGTTGGCTTTTTTTTTCATTGTATGACCTTTTACATTCAGGGTACTTATCTATTTCAACCTTTCTCTGGCATGTGTTGTATAGTTTTGGTCTATTCCTAGTTTCTGCCAAAAAGTATTTTGTAATTATGTTTTTATGTTTAGAGTACCTTGGTAGATTGACTCCCAGATACTGTGCATTTTGTAGTAATTTGAACAGGACTTCTCTTTCTGTTATTTTCTCCTAGATTTTATTATTGCTACCCAGAAATGCCAGTGATTTTGTAAATTTACTTTGTATCCTGCTGCTTTACTAATACAGGATTAATTATCTCAATTAGGGTCTTTTAAAAATTATTCTCTGGTGTGCCACGATTTATTTTAGGTCCATTTGACTCTTAGTTTTTTTTTTTTTTTTTTAACAATCAAATATCTTAGAAATATCTTTTAGTAGTAGTTAGCCATTTTCTTCCATATCATCTGGATTTTTGTTGGTTTCTGAGTTGGACATTGGTCATTTCTCTGGTCTTTGCCTCCTTTGTTTGATTCTCATTCCATTTAAGGTTTGCAGCTCAAGTTCTAGCCAGAATTTCTTTTTCAGATTGATCTGCAATGTTTTATTTTACTTGTTATTATTTCTTATCGGTGGTAAAAATTGGGACCCTCCGGGATTGCCTAGGAGTTAATACTTAAATGGGCTACAATTTGCCATTTCAAGACATCCTGCTATTGAGGAAAGCCAAAAAAAGAAAAAGAAAAAAATAACCAAACCAAAGCTAAAAGAGTGAGTGTAAACAATCAGTTCCTAATGTGTCAGTTGAGAGAGAGCGTGCCCTCGAGTCACAGACCTGAGTCCAAGTTCCCCACTGACCCAGAGTGCCTGAGTGACATCCCTCTCGGACTCTAAATAAAGAGGAAGTTTTTTCACCAGAAGTTCCCTCCACTAATGAAATCCTAAGTCTGGTCTTGTCCTCCCTCCCTCCCCCCCCAAAATCAAAAACCTTCCATTGAATATTCAGATTTTCCTATTTTCAGATGTTTTCTTAAAGTAGGATACACTAAGTGCTTTAGAAAGTTTAAAAGAAAAAATGCAGTAGTCCACTGGGGCCAGGAGAGTGGTAGCAAGTCTCATTGGTATCCACATTCATCATTTCCTTTTCTGCGGGAGAAGCCGCTGGTGTGCCTACTTGAGGACGGCTTGGTAGACAGTGGCTGGCTCGAGGATGGGCGCCAGGCGGTAGAATTGTCTTCCCTAAGTGCCTTCTCACCTGCCTTTGTACACAGCTTGGGGGAGGACAGCTGGAAGAAGACGCAAGCTACATGTCCTCCATGATTTACAGTTTCAGGAGTATTTTGAAGGGGGAGAAAACAAAGGTAGTAAAAGCATTTAGACCCTGAAACTTAAGTACTTTCTAAAGACAGTCTTGGGTTATTTATAGGAAGAAGTCTATTTCTACTTTAAATGCTTTTGATGACTGCCTTAATGTAAACTATAAATAAAAAAGTTAGAATCAAGACTTGAGAGAAAAGCTGTTTGAATAATCAGGAAGCAACTGGAACCCAGGACTTTTCCACTTTGTTTTTCATAAGATTCTTTAAAAATAAAGATTGTTGTTTGTGAGAGCAGAGTGTTGTGTGTAGGGGGATCAGTTTCAAAATGGAAAGACACATTATTCCTTTTAAATAGAAAACTAGTGGAAATGTCTGGATTCTGGGTTTGGAACATGCTAGCTAGCAAAGCTGTATTTTACTTTTGATGTAGAAGGGCCTTTTTTTTTTTTTTTTATACTTTCTGAACTCACGCTGGCAAGCCACTGGACAGTTTTTATTTCCTAAATCTTGCAAAGAGGCAGGGTAATTGATCACAGATGCACCTTTTCCTAAAGTTGATGTTTTCTTTTTATAGAGCCCTGTGAAGATAAATCAGATTAGCCTGGATGAAACTGGAGAACACATGGGCGTGTGCTCAGAGGATGGCAAGGTACGCGGGTGTTAGAGGCCGTTGGAAAGTGCCGCTGTCTCTGGCAGCCAGTGCGTGCTGGGGACAGGGGAATCTGGGGACAGGTAAAGCCCGGAGATGGAGGCATCTGCATGGAGAGAGGACCTGGCCTGTGCCTGAGCACCGGACTTGCCTCCCATTGCTCATATATAAAGTCAAATATATTTTGCACAAATGTGCCTTAGGAAAAGTAATTACGGTACATGGATGTCAATAATGCAACTGGTATTCAACTGGCGAACAGCTCTGGCAAGGGGCAGGTCTCTTTAATCATTACCTCTGTGCCAGCTAGACTTCCATGACTAGTCTGCTGTTCCGGCAAGACAGTAGTAGTTCAATGCCTTTCTACCATAAATCCACAAAATTGGATTTTGTGGCATGATTTCTGTGGGCTGGTGGTTTTCATTTTCACCCACAAGTTATGAATGTTTCTTTTGAATTATAGAATCTTTTGATAAGCAATCATAGTTTATCAGAAGAATAAAGTGTCTTACAACGGCCACATTAAATAAATGTAAAATCAATGTATGTACAGTTTTCTAAAAAACTGGTAGCGACGTCCTCGACATCAGAGGACATAGATCACTGGTGCTGGGTGTAACTAACAATTATCAGGGCCTCTCTGCAGTGGGGCGGCTGACAGTTAGTGGTGGAGGTGATGGATTCTTCCACTTAGAAGAATGTCTTTTTTGTTTTTAAGTCGATGGAGGTCTTTTCCAGTGTGGGTTTGCAATGATAAAATTCTAATGTGCCATGTATTTAAGCTACTTGTTTAAAATAACATTCTGAGACGGCAGATGGGGCTTTAAAAATCACATCTGAACCACAGCTATGTTACTTGCCAAGGAGAGGCCAGGTTTAACTAATTTGTTGTCTGTTTTTTAATTGATCCTAATCCAGGGTCCCCATTAAAAGCGAGTAAACTAAAAACAATATCGGCCGTCTTGATGCATAGATGAAATGAGAACATATTTGTTCTGTCACAATTAGAGAATGATTTTCTCCTTTTAGGTGGTAATATCATTTGTCTTTCTCAGAAAGGCTTTTGAAACCATAATTGGAAGCCTCGTGCCTTCCCAAAAGTGTTGTCAGGTTCCACGGTGCTTTTTGAAGCTTGACGATGAGCACAGATGTCAAAGTGAGCCGAGGAGGGCGTCGGCACGACTCCTCATTGAGGAGGATTAGCCAAACAATTTAAGCATTTTTTCCATTCATCTCTTTGGGGGAGCGGAGTGTGTGGGGGGGTGGGAAGCAATTTGTCTTTTTTTTCCAAGGAGAGGGCTTCTTTTAGTGCGCTGAAACAGATGCTCCTTGGCAAGACCGCAGGATTTTAGAGGTGGAAAGTGACCGATTCCCACCTCCAAGATGTTTAGTTTTCTGTAAAGTAAAATGTTATTGACAGCTTTAGCGTTCCTTCACTGCATCCATCCCCACCTGTGTCCGAGGGCCATCCCTGCTCATTAAAGGTATTTAAATAGAGGGAAGAACGTAGAGCAGAGCTACCACCCCAGGAAAGCCTGACGTCACGTGTCGTGTTCCGCACCCATGGCCTTTCACCTCTGCAGAGAAGTGGGGGGAGCCGGCTCCTCAGTTCTCTTCTCGGGGCCCAAACGTGCACATTTAGGGTTATTCTGTTGTTTTTGTTCCTCGGTTGCCGTTGTTGGGGTCACTGTGTCTGTTGTTGGCTGAGCTCCGCTGACTTCTCCTTGCATCGTTCCTAGAAGTCTTTCTGAGCTACTCACAACAGCTCACTGTCAGCATTTCAGCGGAGTCATGTCGTTAGCCATTCCCTACATGTGAAGGCCAGGGTGTGACTGTGGTGGAAGATGTATACGTAGATGAGTGTTGTACGCCATAATCTGGGATGGCGACAAAGGAGAGATGGGGAGGAAATAAGCCTGGCCCGCCCTGCCCTCATTGAGGAAGCTCATCGCTGCATCAAGGCCCAGCTCCTTTCTGTCACTTGCCTCCTGCCGGTCTCTTTTGCTCTTCTAACCTGTTTCTATCTCTCTGCCCCTTTAATATGAGGTGTAGAAAGAATCTTAGTAAATATTTATTAAGCACCACGTGCGTGCCAAGCCCTGAGCTAAGTTTGAGGCATGCAAACATCAATCAAAGGCCATTCCTGCTCTGCCGGAGTTCACATTGTGATGGGGGACAACAAGCAACCAGCTATGTGCAGTCAAGCCATAGCCAGGATAAATGCAGATAATCAGCAGAAGGAAAGCATTAGAATTAAGGGCATCAGGAAAGGCTTCCTGTAGGGGTGAGAGTTTAGCTGGGACTTGAAGCAAACTGGGGCAGGGGAATGAGGAAGGAGAGTGTTACAGGCGTGGAGGACAGCCAGCCAGAGGAAATGCCCAGACGCAGGAGATGGAGTGCCCTGTTGGAGGGACAGCCAGGAGGCCAGAGTATGTGATACCTGAACCAGAGGGTGACCAGAGGAGAGAAGAGGGCATGAGAGATGGTGGGAAGGTGAAACAGGTCTTGGCATAGGGGGAGGGGGTGGTGGTGAGAGATAGTAAGGAATCCAGGATGACTCCTAGGTTGTGAGCCTGAGGGACTGGAAGGATGGTGGTGCCTTCGACAGTCAGGAAAGTTAGAAAGAAAAGAGAATTTGGGAGTGAAGAGGAGGTCAGTTTTGGACATGTTGAGTTGAAGATGTCTGCCGGACATCCGGGCCAAGTTGTCTGAAAGGCAGTTGGAGATATGAGACTGGAGGTCAGGAGAGAGGTTGGGGCAGGATAGGCAGATTTGAGAATCATCATCACAGAGAATGATAATTGGCTCCATGGGAGCTGATGAGCTCTCCCAGCAAAGTCATGTAGAGGGAGAAGAGAAGAGGGCACAGGATAGAGCCCTGTGGGACACCTGTGGTTAGAGGACATGATCTGGAAGCGGATCCAGCAAAGGAGAATGAGAAGGTGTGGTTAGAGAAGTAGGGAGAGAACCAGGAGAGAGAGGGGTGTTCTGAGAACCTAGAGAAAAAGAGAATATTAGAGTAGAGGTTATGTCAGTGTCGAAGGCTATCCCACTTTCATCCTTTTTCTTCCTCTTGTTATTCAATCATTGAGTCATGTTTGACTCTTCATGACTTCATGGACCAGAGCACACCAGGCCCTTCTGTCCTTCATTATCTCCCCAAGTCTGTCCAAGCTCATGTACTCTGCTTCCTTGATGCTATCTATCCAAATCATCCTTTGCCATCCGTTTCTCCTTTGCCTTCAGTCGTTCCCAACACCAGGGTCTTTTCCAATGAGTCCTATCTTCTCATTATGTGGTCAAAGGACTTAAGCTTCAGCTTTAGTATTTGACCTTCCAGTGAATAGTCTGAATTAATTTCTTTAAGTATTGACTATTTGACCTCCTCACTGTCCAAGGAACTCTCAAAAGTCTTTTCTGATGCAATTCAAAAGCATCAACTCTGCAACTCTCAGCTTTTCCCATAGTCGAATTCCCACAGCCATACATTGCTACTGGAAAAACCATAGTTTTGACTATGTGGACCTTTTGTCAGCAAGGTGATGTCTCAGCTTTTTACATTTACCGTCCAAATTTGCCTTCCTCCCAAGGAGCAAGTGTCTTTCAATTTCATGGCTGCAGTTGCCATTTGCAGTGATCTTTGAGCCTAAGAATATAAAATCTGACACTGGTTCCATTTCTTCTCCCTCTGTTTGCCAGGAAGGAATAGGACCAGTTGACAAGATCTTGGTTTTTTTATGTTAAGCTTCAAGCCAGCTTTTATACTCTCCTCTTTCACCCTCATCAACAGGCTTCTAATTCTTTTTCACTTTCTGCCATCAGAGTGGTACCATCTGTCTATCTGAGGTTGTTTATGTTTCTCCTGGCAACCTTAATTCCACCTTTTGATTTGTCATGATTTCGTATGATGTACTCTGGCATATAAGTTACGTAAATAAGATGACAAAATCTAGCCTTGTCACACTCCTTTTCCAATCTTAAACCAATCAGTTGTTCCGTGTTCAGTTGTAACCGTTGCTTCTTGACCCTCATACAGGTTTCTCAGGAGACACGGAAGATGATTTGGGACTCCCGTCTTTTTGAGAATTTGACCCATTGTGTTGTGATCCACACAGTCAAACACTTTAGTGTAGTCAACAAAGTGGAAGTAGATGTTTTTCTGGAACTCCCTAATCCAGGGAATGTGGGCAGTTTGTCCTCTGCCTCCTCGAAAGCCAGCCTGCTCTTCTGGTACTTCTCAGTTCCCATACTGCTGAAGGCTAGCTTTCAGAATTTTAAACGTGACCTTGACGGCGTGGGAAATGAGCACAGTTGTTCATTGATTTGAACATTCTTTGGCATGGCCCTTCTTTAGGATCAGGATGTAAACTGGTTTTTTCCTATCCAGTGGCCACCGTTGAGTTTTCCAAATGTGCTGGCATATTGAGTGCGGCGCTTTAACAGCATCATCTTTTAGGATTTAAATAGTTCAGCAGGCATTCTATCCCCTCCCTTGGCCTTATTGTTAGCAATGCTTCCTAAGGCCCACTTGACTTCCTTCTCTAGGATATCTGGCTCTAGATCAGTAACTATATGCCAGTGTGATTATCAGTTATGTTAAGATCTTTCTTGTAGAGAGGCTGAGCCAAGATGTGGAGTAAAGGCAGGAACTCTCCTGAGCTCTCCCCCAAACTCCTCCAAATACCTTTAAATAGTGATTCTAAACAGATTCTAGAGCAGCAGAACTCACCAAAAAAAGGAGTGAAACAATTTTCCAGCCCAAGACAAATTAGGAGGTTGACAGGAAAGGTCTGTTGCACCAAGGTGAGAGATAAGTGTAGTCCAGTGCAGACCGGACCCCAGCAACCAGGATGAGACCTTGGGGCAATTCAATCACTGGTAGCAATGGCAGTTTCCAGACTCCTCAGCCTGCAAATGGTAAGGGTGTTGGGCAGCGGGTCAGAAGGAGATGTACAGGGCTCCCTTTGCTGGCATCAGAGGCAGGACTCAGCTGCATTGCC